ATGAAAAAATGTAAGGTAGGAGTATTGTGCAAAGAGACAAAAGGAATTCACGGTTTCGGCTGTCTATGTGTCTGTTATAATAGGAATTAAAAATAGTCTGCAACGGGAATTTATCAAAGACGGAGCAGACCAAATCTGGACCAGTTGCCCATGGCAACCAATCGGTTGCTATTTTTCATTTTCAAAGCTTAACTGAACAGACTAAAGACAGAAGCTGATTGGTTATTATTCACAGCTGCTCCAGAATCTGTCTGCTCCAATTTTGATAAATTTACCCCTACATGTCTTCACCTAACATCCTTAAATGAGACATAAGCCCCTTGTTTTGGGATGGAAGTGATGACGGGTAAACAGCTTCTTTTATAAGAAGGAAATACTTTTACTCCCCCAGTAACAAGTAATAGCTCCATGGACTGACAACAGCCTTATCCTCAAAACATTCATCATTAGAGACTCCACCGCTTGGATCTGGCTGCTGTAATACACAGAAGACATTAAAGAACCCTTGTGTCTGAATGACCACCCACCAATTTACAACTGTGGCCAAGTACTGTATGCAAGGATGAGTAAATCAAGTTGGTGTTTGCATTGGATCACTCAACTCTGGAATTATATACATGAATGATAGGTTGTGTTTGTCATCTATTCACTTAGCACAGTCCAACAATTTGAGACTTTGGGTACTTTGGCACGCTAGGTTGGTCCCTCAGTAGCTATACTGCCTCAGAAGTACCATCTATCCTTCCCTCTGTCATCCTGTTTTGCCTTTGATCTTTCCCAGCATCAGAGACTTCTCCACTGAGCCCTGCACCTCTGTGGAAATATCTCATGTTAACACTGAACTCCAAGCAAACAGCTACATGCCCAATTGTAATTCATATACAGTACATGATTTTACCCACCAAATGAGTTCCAATTGTGTTCGGCCACTCTTCGGATCCAAGCACCCCTACCACACAACAGTGACTTCAATGTTCTCTACTGCAGTAGAGCAGTACATGTTTGGTCACCATCCTTCCACAAGTCTGTTCATGGACAACGAAGGAGAACAAGCACATAGCTGATGTCATCACTCTTTCCTCCTATAAGCATCTTCCAAGTGCAGTATAAAGATCAATAAAGCTCAGATTGGCTCAGAGTGCTGTCCCTCTACTAGTCTGAGTGTTCCTGTGCAAGGAATAACAGGAGGTTGATCCACTACATGTATGAAAGTTTGTGGGCACCTAAACATTACGCCTATATGAAACTGCTGGACATCCAATGGACATTAACATGGAAATGACCCCCCCCCCTCATCCTTTCTCTGCAGCTATAACACTCCACTTTTCTGGAAAGGCTTTCCATAAGCTTTTGGAGAGTACCTGGGTGATCTTCAGCCATAGGAGCATTTCTGAAGTCAGTTGCTGATGTCAGACAAGAGGACCTGATGGCAATGAAGATCACCAGCACTCGCAAGATGAAATAAATCCCAACGTTCTTTTTATTGTAGAACAACGTCACATGTATAATATAGCCAACGTTTCGGAACCGCAAGGGGTCCCTTCATCAGGGCAAACATAGTGAATTCCGTCACTATGTTTGCCCTGATGAAGGGACCCTGCACTGATCCAAAACGTTGGCTATATTATACGTTTGACATTGTTCTACAATAAAAAGAACGTTGGGATTTATTCCATCTTGTGAGTGCTGGTAATCTTCATTGCTATCATCTCTGGATTTCCACTGCGCCATCCATGACATCACTGCAAGCACCACTGCTATTTCAAGCATCAAAGGTCCCGATTACTATATGGTGTGCTGGGACATTTCTGTTTATAGACAAGAGGATCTGGCTCACTGTCAGTGTTCAAAATCATCCCAAAAGTGTTCCTTGGGGTTGAGATCAGGATTATAGGAGGGACACTAGAGTTCCTCTACACCAAACTCATCAAGCCAAGACTTTAAGCAGCTAACTTTGTACAAAGGGGCACAGTCATGCTAGAAGAGCATTCCCCAAACTGTTGCCTTAAAGTCGGAAGCGTACAATTCCCTAAAATGTCTTTGTATACTGTAGTATTAACAGTACTCTCTACTGAACATCTGAACTCAAAAACCTTTCAGGATGTCCACATACTTTTGATCATATAGTGTAAGTATGTGTGATGTACACAAACATTTGGCAATATAGTGTATCAGGACAGAGGCAGATCCAAGTAAAAATGCATGCCCTGTTTTCTTCAAAACCTACTGTACATAACTGGATTCAATTGTTCACGTTTCTAGATTTGCTTGGAGTTCAGCTTTTAAAGCAAAAACAATACTCTATTCACCTACAAATTCACTGTTACATGCATTTCAGATGATCATTATAACTTGTGAGCCAATACCATACAACTCCAGCTTTTGTCTATCCACTTCCAACCACATGGATAGTAAAAAGGCCAAGCAAAATTGTGAGGACCCTGCTCGCCAGGGTTGCAGGTTTCCCAATACAATTATTTGCATAGACTTGATCTACTGTATCATACAACAGTATTGCAAATTTTTCAGCATCAGTCTTTCCACTGTGTAATCCAGAGTCATCTTCTGGACTGCTGACCAGTTTCTTTATCTTCCATTCCAAAGATGAGTTTCAGCCTTTCTCACAGCACAGCACCTGCTGCCACAAGACTCCTATCATATGACTGCCACGAGTCAAGGAGGGTTTGAGTGATCCAATGCGATTCACTCACCTTTAATTGTTTGCTTTATGTTCCCTTTTATTTATTAAATTCGAACGGTAGGAAATAAATAAATGCATAAAAAGAAACTCAATGTGATCAAATCGGACGATACATAAGTAGAGGCATTCAGTGGGTGGAATGGTCACTTGTTTCCTAAAAAAAAGGAAACTGATTTGATACACAGTCCTTTGTATTGTGCAGGTTTGTTAGAACAATGATGGAGGATTAAATACAGCTGCGATGCAAGAGAGAGGCGCTTAAAAAAGGTCAGGTTAATGGTGAATGCTCTGACGGCGGGTGAGGGAACTGGCAGGATCATTAAAAACACAGAGAGGGAAAAAGGAGGAACAAGAAGACAGAAAAAAAAGTATATTAAGAATAGCTGTAGTGAGAAATATCAGTTACAGGAGATAGAACAACAGAAAACAGGAAGCCTGCCTATCTCTAAAGCTTAATTAAAATAATATTTCATATTGCATAGTTAAGTGACGTGTGCACGAAATTGCTGTTCTGAACGTTACTTACTTTTATTCTAAAGGGTTATTTCACCGTTTGGAAAAACTGTTCACCCCCCAGGTCCTCGCTGCACTTGGTTGCTTAGATGACAGTCGCTCATGTCAGCCGGTGTAACAAGCAGCATGCTTCAAAACTTCACTACACAGCCCTGTAGCATCTTAATGCTTGGGAGTGGTGATTGGTTGACATGCTGGACCGCACTGACCAATGAGAATCCCTTCTTTCTAGTGGGACGTTATCCCAGAAGCATGATGGAACAAATGAAAATGGAATGGACAAAAAAAAAAAAGACACACAACCCCACCCTCTGTAGTAGAGCCACTTGCTGCAGCAGAGTTTACTTCACCTCGATCAGGAATTTTCTTCAAAGCCATCCGCATATGAACATTCATAGATTCGTGTGTGGCTGTTCCAAACACTGGAACTGCACCCTAGGGCAGCCCCATTTAAGTCTATGAGTGTGCAAAGGCGGGCAGCATTAAAGAGGATTCCTGCTCAAGGTACCTTAAACAGTGCTGCAGGAAGTGGCTCTACTAAGGAGGTATGTAAGAAGCTGGAGGGGGCAATAGAGCTGGAGGCGTGGGTTGGGGGGATTTTAGGTCAAAGTGACAATAAAGTCACGTTTTTCTTTTCCCCATTCTAATTCTGCTTTTAATACTTACCTTGTGTGATGCCTCTTGATGTGATCATCTTCTTCCTTCCACTTGTTTCCAGCTGTCCCTCCAGCACTGGTGCCGGTCTTTGATCCAGCGTAGACTCTTCTGCCTTCTGTGTCCCACGGAGTCTCTCCGGCGTGCACGCTCACGGTTGCGTGCATTGACTTTCACTAAGTCTCTCTTCCTCTCCCCGCTGGTGATATGGACTGCGCAGGCGCCTGGCCCACATCATCCTCCTGCACGGTGTCGTGACCCAAAAGTGGGTAGCGACCCTGTGTTCAGTGGGTTGCCACATGCCTTCCAGACGTAGACGTGCCAGGAGCCAGAATATGACATCCCTCCGGTCCAGGCACCTCTACAGGGCACGCAAGGGAGTGGTACGTGTGGATGGAGCTCCCTTACGGTCATAGCCCCAGCCCATCCAACCTCAAGCTGACACTCGGCACCAGGCAGCAGATTTTGAATGGCTGCTTGGCGAGAGAACTGACAGGAGGAGCTGAGGAGTCTCTCACCTAGCATAGTGGAAGGCACACGACAACCCACTGAACATGGGGTCGCAACCCACCAGTTGAGAACCAAGGCACTAGAGAATAAGGGGTAATACTTACCTTATTCCATGCCCGGCACTCTCCTCTTCTCTCCAATGCTCCGGGCGTGCCTTGACATCCTCATGTACAATACAGGGCTATTGGTCTTGCTTTGAATCTGATGTTAGCGTGCAACCGTTGGCTGGAGCCCCTTAGAGAAGAGGCTTCAGGGGACCAGTCACATAGTGTGGAGGAAGGAATAAGGTATTAAACCCAATTCCTCTACCCCCAGACTTAACAAGCATTGATCCCTAGCAGTGCAGGGAGGGGGGTGGCACTGATAATTAAGCTTTTTTTCCCCCAGCTTTAAATACTTTATTCCCTTTTTATTTAACAAAGGATTTTATGCTACCTGACTGTATACAGTTACTAAGCTTCCCGTCTACAAGCATTCCGAAATATCACAGATCTCCTCAGTGAAATCCGTTGTAGTTTGTGGCGGCAAGAAGCAAAACTATTGTTTTTCGGTTGTTCAGTTTTCACAAAGGAGTTCAACTATTCTATAATGTACCATAGAGATTTCAGAAACCTTCTCATACCTGGTCCGTCTCCTCTGGGAAGAATCTTCCTGTTCCCCATTGGCTGCCCTGTGCAGTGAGTGAGGTCTGCAGACTCTTAGGGACTTCACAAAATCATCTTCTCTGGGTGGTGGTCGGGCACGTGTTGGAGAAGAACCGAGACTGCCAGCACGGTTAAGGGCTGACTGTGCCTGGTTTAAAGGCCAAGGGAGGCCTTCCTCGTGTTTCAGAACTGAAATTGAAAGGAAAGCACACTAATGTGAGAGAGAACAAACTTATTTGCAGCACCTATTATGACACTTTCTTTCTATATTAGGACACTTTCTCTCTACTCGTTTTCTCAGAAGAAGAAAAAAAAAAAAGTATGAATTATGAAGACCGGCAATGATGATGTCAGCAGTTTCATCAAACTTTTTTTTTCCACATATGCACACTGGACTTCAAGTGTCCATATCCGGAAGAATAAAGTTTTATGAAAATACTGAGACGTTAATGTGCTGTCGGTCTTTGTGATTAAGCTTTCTATGGGGAGCATGGATGAGCTCCATCCTGCCTGCACCCGCTCTTCTTGGACACCGGCACACTATGCAAGCTTCTAAGGGGCAGTCTTCTTTGTCTTCCTAAATTAAAGTGTATGTCCATGCAAATATGTACATTTTGCACATATTCCCTCATGTTTTACCTTTACAAATGCTACAAGTACAGAAAAATACTTGCTGATCTGCCAGAAATCCATTGAACTTCTAACTTCCTGTTTAGGATGACAACACAGTGTCTCCGCTGCACTGAAATCCCAAGCAGTGCTTCAGCCCTGCTCAGTTCTCCCCTGCTGGACTACAAAATAACTCCCCTTCTCCTCAACCCCTCCTTATTTACATTCTCTATATTACTTTCCTTCCCACACAGGATGCCTGCTGTTTTCCTCCTCTGCTGCTATAACATGCTGTGAAGTAGTTCCTACAGGAATGAATAGCAGGCGTTTCATTTTTTTTTTTACACAAGCAAGCAATCTAATTGATTCAATAAGCAGCAGAAGGGGAGAAAAAACACAGACAGCTTGTATGGGAGAAGAGGGAATGCAGAGAATGTAATCAAGAGGCGATGGAAATTAGGAGAGGAGGAGGTGCTCTGAAGTCCAGGGGGAACAGGGCAGGGCTGATGACACTGCTTGGGATTTCAGTGCAGCTGAGGCATTGTGTTGTCAGGCTAAACAGGAAGTTAGGAGTATACTAGATTTCTGAGAGATCTGAGAGATTATTTTTCTTTACTTGGAGCTCTTTTTACAGAGTCAAAACATGGGAAATGTGCATGTATTACAGAGATTTACTGAATGTGTTTTATGATTTTGCCCAGACGTACACTTCACTTAAGAATTCAATAGGCAAGCAGTGCACAATAGGAGCCAATAGGAAGCTCCTCATGAAAGAAATAAGAAGGCTGCAATTGCTGACTTTCCCTATGAAAATGACAATTGCATTGGCTTCAATACTTTCTGAGTCATATCTGGGAACAAGCATATAGATATGTCTGTGAAGGTTCTCATTCATCCAGGTCATGGTAGATCTGTAAAAAAAAGGTCAAAGCAACTGGACTTGCTGTATTTTTCTGGAAGACGGTTCACTGGTCATCCAACCGGCTTTCTCAATTCAGAATGACTTGTACAAAAATGATCAGGGAATAAATATGGTGAATGTTGCTCCAATCCACATAAAACCCTCACTGGTACTCTTGGCATTCTTTCCTCTTCTTTCCGTTTTGACAAAAGCCCAGTCTGGATACCCACAAGTTTTAAAAGCTTCCCCGTGGTGTTTGAATTCCTTCGTCTTGGCCTTGGCCACGGTATAGAAGAGCCAAACCCTCTGGTCAGGATTCAGCAGTATACCTACAGCTAAAGAAAAAAGGTCACTCCTTTGAAGACAGTCAAGTACGCATCCTAGACAGGAAGGAGGACTGGTTTATAAGAGGTGTGAAAGAGGACATTTATGTAAAAATGGAGACGCCAAGCTTGAATAGAGGTGGGGGGGGTGCGAGACATCTATTGTCTGCCACATACAATGGTGTTTTAACTCTGGGCAGGTTATTAACACCTCCTAGCTCCAATTATGCAAATGCAGTCAACACTTGGTTGTGATTAACAGATTGTGGATTGGAGCAACATTCACCACATTTATTCCCAGATAATTTTTCTACAAGCCATTCTGAATTGAGAAAGCTGGTCAGATGTCCAGTGAAACGTCGTCAAAGAAAAATACAGCAAATCCAGTTGCCTTGACTTATTTTTTACATATATAAGCATAGAGATCATACATTCTAACCTTCATATGCTGCATGCTTGTTCTGGGTCTGTGACTCAGAGTTATTGAACCTTGACACAGCCAGGCAATGAGCAGTCTCAGAAAATAGCTAGCAGTGGCTGCCCTTTTGTTTTTCTAATGGCAAGGGTGCGTACAATAGGCATGAGCAGTAATCTGTACGTGTATTAGCATGAAATAGTAGATTCTAGGGTGGATATCTAGTCACAGGAAGGGTTAGTATTCGGCCCAGAGCACCCTGGTGCAGGAGAAGGGCTTATGAAAAATGTTTTTGTTTTGGATAGATGGTTGAACCCCATGTTTTTTTCCACTGGGGAGATTTTCTCTTGTTTCCTGTCGTAGGTACCAATGCCACAGAAATCCAGTGCCACAATAACAAGCAAGAGAAAATATATCCAAAATGAGAAGAAATCCCCTCTTAGACAGTTATCTGGACAAGTGTCCCAACTAGAAAATGATCCCTCTATTGCCATCTTGGTGATAACTGTAAAATCCTTTATCACTTTCTTTCTCCCAGTGGAGACACAGAAAAGCAAAAAAAAGCTCCAGATGGGTCTGTAAGCACCTCCACACCCTAGTTCACACAAGGGAGGATTAGGGTTACATAAAGCATCAGTGTTTGGATACAGGAGAGTTGGTGTGAGGGGGGGGGGGGGCTTCGGGTAGGACATTGCTCCCTGTATTGGGAGATCTTCCCAAAAACTACCAGAGCCCATCTCCTGGTACTGAAAGCTAATGTACTGCATTGGTTACCAGCCTCCTGAGATACATTCAGCCCCCCACTATCTGCGCATCAACCAGCTACAGTATTAAGTGTCCTTCCTTTTATTTAGCAGTCACCAGATTTGAATATTTTCCCACAGCTCCCTCCTGATCTACGAGTGTTTCTTCCCTTATAACCCATCAGAGTTTACCAGTTCTTACATTCTCTGTCAGACAGCGAATACGGTTTGATCTCTCCCTCTAGTCGCTTGGGGGGTAACTTTCTCACTGGAGCTGTAAAAAAAAAAAAGAAGAACAATGTAATACTGTGAGACTTTAAATCGGGTTCATCCGCTGAAGTACTGCCGATTCGGGTATTTAACCAAAACCCTGGAACTAATACTAGGTTAAGCATTCCTCTAAAAATACTATTTTTCTGGACAAACAACTACTTCCCCCAACATGCTATGGGGTCCTAGATAGGGGCAAGGGAATCAGTTTTCAGGAAGGTAAAAGGATTCTGTGTATGACCCTGGATCAGAAGAGGGTGGATGTTCACAGAGAATTGGGACCCCCTTGATTAAATTACGATGGATTCAATGACGTCTTGGTCGTACAATGCTTATCCCAATTTTATGATCCCTCGGTAAATATATTGTTTAAAGTAAACCTGTCACAACTTTACACTGAACAAATGCATAATCAGAGGTTAAAAGGAGGACTATGAGGTGAGTGATTTCCACTCATCTTCATAGTTAGAGTCGACCTGTGACAAAGAAGCTGTCACAGGTCAGCGCTATAGATTGGGAAGTGAGCAGAAACATGTAGCCGATCCGTTCACTTTCCGATCGTCTCCCTGCAGTGAGTGCTGACTGTCAGTCACCGCTGCCCGCAGGGATTCCTCCTCCTCCCCTCCAGCGCTGAGTGTAGGAATTAACATGGGAGGGGGCGGACACAGCTCGGCCTCTATATTAGCAGAGCCCGCTGTCACTCACACAGCTGGGTGGACAGTATTGTCGGGATCTGTCCTGGCTGTGGCACTCTCAGTAAATCACAAGCAATGGCTCGCGATATACTGAGCTTTGGGTCACGAGAGGAGGTTAGTGTATGTCCTCCCGTGACCCTAAAGAGAACTATGGGAAAATATACTTACCCCATAGTTCTCTTTTAACTGTGAAAATCTCCCATGGTCCCGGAATGGAATAATGTTATCAGTTACTCAGGTATCAACGTAGAATGCCCATGCAGATATTTGGGGCACTATGGGTTCCCTAGGTTAACCGCCTCAATACCTGAATGTTACACCCCCTTCCTTTCCAGACCATTTTTAAGTGTCGTAATAGTTTGACTGACAATTATGCAAGTCACGTAAAACCATATCATTATTAATTTTATATTTTTGTGACAGATCAACACACAGATCAAGAAAGCATTAACACCCCCTGAATTAGTCTTTTTATGAATTTTACAAATGAACGAAAGAAGGAAAATTGATTCCCACTGGTGGTAATCACATACAACCCATACATTGAAGTTCTAAAAAAAAAAAAAAAGCCTGCAGAAGAATTCCAACTTCTTCTGTAAAAAGTCCTCTAAACCACCCATCAACAACCAGCCAATCTAAGACAGCTTATTGTGAACGTCTCCTTTGCCAAGGAATGAACCTTCAAAGATTCACAAAGAAAAATGACAAAACAGATGTTCCTGTAGCCATCCGCTTCTGCAGCAGAGGACAGAAATGATCTCAAGAAGGTACTCATGGGGAACTTAAAGTCACTAAAGGAGAGGCTGGAATGGGAATGTAAATTCATACACAAATTCAAAACGCTATAGAGTGGTCCAAATAGGGATAGCAACTGTATGTGCCACTACAAATGTTATAACTTTTCTGATCTCTGACAAAAAAAACTGTTTTGCTCGAGCATTTGATTAAAAAAAAAAGGAACATTTCAAAAGGACCCTTATCCACAATGAATAGAGTCATATGAGGATCCCACCGTACTCCTGACCGAGTAAGCCCCAACTTCCAATGGTGGGTGTGCTGCAATGACAGGAGATGGTGGCACCAAACTCAGGTAAAGATGATAAAGAGTCAAACACTCAAAGTGTTCCCTAAGCATAATTATTTTACTCCATGCATAGATTTACATCACCATGCCTAGCTTCGGAAACCATCTGGTTCCTTCATCAGGCAAAAACAGAGTGACAAAAGAACTTTGCTTAAGGAAAACTTGCAGGGTTATTCACAAAAGGGTGAAGGGTTTGGAGAAGGTAGGAGAAGGGAACAATCTAGGACAACAAAGCTGATTTGGGAAAATTATCCAATTCAACTCACTTTCCAGTTCAGCTATGTTGTCCCACTTCTCCTGACTTCTCCAAACTCTTCACCCTTTTATGAATAACCCTGTTGGAGTGCTGGGGACTCTTTATCATGTTTACCTTATCCTCAATGAGGTGACAAGTTAGAAGTGGCAATGGCTGTATTCCATTGCTTCGCTGGATATCTCAAAAAGATCTCTATCTCTTACACAACAGAACATAAAGGGGAATCTGCTCCAGTAGGACACAGATGTTCAAAACGATTGACAGGGGTTTGAACTATTCTCTCCAAAAATAAAAAATAAACAATCTTTTGGCCTTCGATACGTTAATCTAAGCCGCCAGCTCTGTAGAAAAATTACAGTTAAAATCCATCCATTTGATATGGGAAACACCTTCACTTTTCTTCTCTCTATTATATCTTTTTGTACATCTCCCCCCACTAAAAGTAGTCAGCGTTAACCAGATAAGCCAGTCATTTGCTAAGGAGGACAAGGACACCACCTCTATTCCATAATCCTGCCCTTATTGGTGGTCATCATCCTTATCCTGTGGAGGCAACACTGGAAAAGATTGCTGGGGAAGGTAGAAGATTAGGTGGATCACTAGAGGTTAGAGGAACACGTTACAGGGGCTCGTTCACACCATGTCTGTTGAGCTGCGTTAAAGTGTGTCAAGTTTGAGAACCAATTTCGGTTTAGGAGTACGAGTACCGGTATTGTTTTTTCAGTACTCGCCTAAACCGAGTACCAATACCGAAAGAACCCTGGCTTCACTTGCAGAGGCTGCCTGGCTTTCCTGACCAATCAGGAAGCCGGGCGACGGGTCATAAGTTGCCGTCCGGCTTCCCGATTTCCTAGGAAGCCTTCTTCACTTGTTGGTAGGCAGCCTGACTTCCTGACCAATCAGGAAGCAGACTTCACTTGTTCCTAGTCAGCCTAGCTTACTGACAAATCAGGAAGCAGGGCGGCACGTCATGACTCGGCCCGCTGAGTGGTCAGGAAGCCAGGCTGCCTAGCAACAAGTGAAGCCGGCTTCGTAGCCAATCAGGAAGCCTGGCGGCACGTCATGATTGGAAAGAAAGCAGTCTTCTTACCTCCCTCGGCACTGCCGGTCAGAGGGAGATCTCAATCTCATATCAAATAAAAATTTTAGGACAGTACAAACACCCCCAAAATGACCACTTTTTGGAAAATGTTTGCTTTTGCGAGTAGTGCGGATGCCACATATTTTGCAAAAGTTGTGCAACTTAAAGTGACATTAAACCCTCAGATTCTTTTACATAAAACAAGGAAGAGCAGCAAAGAGAAGGCAAACTACCATGGATTACAGTAAGGCGCACATTACAGTATTGTTTTATGTTAAAAAATCTGAGGGTTTAATGTCACTTTAAATCCGTTTTTAACCCTAAAAGCTAGGCAGCGTATTGTTTTGTCACGCTAGCTGGGAAAGGTTTCCTTTTTGGAAAGTTGAATTCTAGATCTAATTTCTTGTTACATTTTGTTGGAAAATGAAGAACCATGCTGGGATTGAGGTGGTGTAAGAGACTCTACAAACTCTACTGTTTGTATATACACTACCTGTTTTTGAGCGCTGAGAATGGACTGTCTGCAAAGTCAGCTGCTGCCATGAAGTAGAAGGGTATACAACTATTAAGCCTTGGGGAAACAATGTGCAACCTTTGCAGTGCACACACACAACAATACAAAGGTGAACTTTAAGTTACTGATCTGAAAAGGCAGGATTAGGGATTTGAACATACTGATCTAAGAAGACAAAGAGGCCTGTGACATGAGGAAAGGCAAGAGAGACAGGCAAAGAGGAACTTTTAAAGTCAGATAGATGTGATCAACAGATGGAGGTGTTGTGAGAAGAAGGCCAAGGTTGACTACTGTGATTGCTGTGATTCCTGTTATAGAGTGACAAAGCTCTGCTCCTGCCGCCCGATTGCTGTATGTTGTCATCCAAATCACACACTTTTCCAATTGTCTATTCCTCCAGTGCTGACTGGTGGGACAGATGGGGGAGGGGGCGGACACAGCTGGTTCTGCCTCTAGATAGGCAGAGCCAGCAGTCAATCAGGCAACTGGGTGGCTCTCGGCAGTATTGTCAGGATCATTCCCGGCTGCAGCGCTGTCAGCATATAGCGACAATAGCCTGATATATGCCGAGTTTCGGGTCACAGGAGGACATTAGTCAAACAGTCAGGAGATATAAGCAGCTAAATGAAAACATGTACTGATAAGGAAGTGGATCTTCTGAAAATACTAGTTTCCTGGCAGTCACTGGCTAGAGTGTTTTCTGAGACAATGATCCCTAACACACATGTAGATCAAAAAAGTCAAAGCATAATGCATAATGAGACCTTTGGATCAGCATCATAGACATAGATCTAGTATTTTCAGAAGGTGAGATCAATACTAGCAGCCCCCATACTTCCTTACATAGGTATGATGTAGGGATGCAACTATACCAGTTTTTCAATATTGAGTACGAGTATCGATATTTTGCTTTTGGTACCTGCCGATACCGATGCTTCCGCTGACATGGAGCCAGCTTCCCGGGCAATGTAATAACATGCTGCCCAGCTTCCTGATTGCCCAGTAGCCGGCTCCATGTTATTTGGCCGGCTCGATTGGCTGGGAAGGCGGTTTTCCAGCCAATCACAATCAGTATCGAGCCGGCTTCCCGGCCAACTAGGAAGCCGGGCGGTGGGTAATGACCCGCCACCCAGCTTCGCGATTGGCCTGAAAGCTGGCTTCCCAGCCAATCAGCATCGAGCCGGCTGTTCGGCCAATCAGGAAACCGGGAGGCGGGTCATTACTCGCCATCCGGCTTCCTGATTGTCCAGGAAACCGGCTCTATGTTCCCCCACAGCACTGCCGGTCCGAGGAAATGTTCCTCTGACCGGGAGTTCTGGTATCGGGAAAGATAAACAGACAACTCGCTCACATCTAGCACAATTGTATTCCCCCTCGAGTATTAGTATGCACCAATACTAGTATGGGTATTGGTGCATCCCTAGTATGAAGTTGTATCTACATCTCAATTTTTCAATTATAGTTGAGACGAGCCCCGTAACTCTAACCTCCCAATCCTCCTTATATGTAAGAGACCACTCATCACACTGACAGGAAGGAGGGCAGGAATGGAGTAGGGCCAAGCTCAACTTTCAGGAAAAGATAAGATTTGTATGTCATTTCAGCTGCCTATAACTCTAGAACCATCTATCCTCCTGAAATACAGTTTATACAAAAGGAAACCTCTGCTTATGCTTTTTATCATCACTAGCTTAGTTTCAACTTTGTAACTGGATTACGTTCACTACGTTAATCCACCAGCAAACCCTGAAAAGCCCTTACTTTAGTTGTTGGAGGACATTTCATTTGTTGATGCTGCTGTTTTATGTTTGGTTGGTTCTCCAGGGCTCTGCTGCCTGACAAGCAGCCACCACCATAGATAAGACATGTTGAGGCAATGAATTGATCACCAAAAATGTGGCAGTCCCTAATTCAGTTGTAATAAGCCTGATGGGTCTGTGCCACAGATCAACCAATCAAACAGCAGCATATGCCTTGGATACCTTCTACATTAGCTCAAAAGGTGGGCCTATTAACCCAAAATGACGAGTGGTCAAATGGAAGGCTTCTTGACAACCAATATAGCCATCTCCCACCTCTATAAAAAAATAATAATAATAAAAAAAAATTATTATAACCGTAATAACAGCAGTGTAACTGCAGGTAAACTTTTAAAAGTACCCTGACAGATTATTGGGGCTGGAGGGTTATCAAGGGTAATGGGAACACAGTGCTTGGTAGAGAAAGAGGAACAGCTGTAGGAGTAGAGTTTAGGTGAATACATACAAAATTGGGTATTGGGAGGGGGGAGGGGGTCGGCATATTGTCTTACTGTCCGATTAGCAGGATGATCCTCCATCTCTGTGTGTAAAGTAACATCAGCTGCATGGATCGAAGAGTCATAAAAAAATGGGTCATTCGGGCCGGAAGTGACCCATTGATTCAACATGAGATTTATCAAATGTCTCACACTTCTAAGAGGAGAGAATTTATTAAATATTGTTAAGCATTATTATTAGGGAAAGGTCTCTATTCACTGTTATGGGTAATAGGTAACTGTAGAGGCAGCTGGTGTTTTTTTTCCAAGGACGGGTGCAGTGGCTATAGGACTTAAAAGCTTTCCCGCTTCTTGGGACCATTTAACAGCTGATAATGTATCTCATATTGATTAACTGTATTACATGGCATTAAATATACATATACAGGCTGATCTATCTAAAAGAAGGGTTTTAGGGCACTCGTATATAGATATTGACATGTGTAAAGCTGAAATACAGCAAGGTATAAATAAAGCACCATTCATTCTAGTTATGTAATCATTAAAAAAAACAAAAAAACAATAAATGTATTTTAAGTACAACTAGGAAAAGTAACTGAATATTTCTTTATATAAGCCTTCTGCATAATAGCCTTTTAGTCTGGTAGAGAGAGCATCAGCACTCTGAGCCATTCAGGCTCTACTGCTATCTACAGTGCTGTCGGACAACCACAGTGAACATGAACATGCTTACAGGAGACACGGGTGACTTTTCAGTATGCTACAGCTGCTTCATTGTCCAGTCAGCAGGCTGGGGTGGGCCGCAGATGAAACCAAATTTTTTAATTGCAGTAGAGAAAAGCAAGATCACTGACAACAGTGGCTGAGCACAATTACTAAGGGGAGAATCAGCTAGTTTGAGCTGTGATTCTTCCCTTCCGCAGAAAGCATATTCAGATATGTGGCTGGCACTGATTGATTCTGCAGTGTGATGCCACTAATAACTAATGTTAAAAGGACATATATATATAATAATATATATCATATATTTACCTTTCCGATCTCTGAAGAAGCCTTCAAAAATAACAAAATTATTAACCTGAAGAGGGGAAAAAAAGAAAAAATTACATCACAAGCATCTCTTCAGTTATTTATTAT